AATAGACTATCAAGCCAGAGGGGCAAACATATTTGAGGTTTTTATGTTACTGGTTTTATAGAATGATCTTTACCTGCAGAAGCTATGGGCTAAAGAGACAGCAAGGAAATCAGTTGGCAGGGTAATTCAATAATATGCACAAAAAGTAATGGGGAGTTAAACTGAACAGTATATCCTACAACACATTTCAAAATGTTGAGTGATGTTCCAGTCTCCAGACCCTCCAGCTCCCTATCACTTGTCAGTTTCTGCTTCCACTTACTATTACTCTAAAACAGTCTACCTTTTGAAAATGCAACCTTTGTATTACTTTACAAAGAAAGTAGAGTTTCTCAGAAAGGCAAATATCGTATCTGTTTGCTGTTCTTGCATCTAGGAATGTATCAAAAGCCACATTCTTACTTCCCATCTCAGTGGAAGTAACTTTAGATCCATTCTTCACAGGTAATTCCCTTACAAATGTTCGTAATTCCCATTTCTTCAAAAAAATTGCTTCCCTCTGATTTTTGTATCTCTAAACTTACCCTTGCCATGAACTCTTATTTTTCTTAAACTAGGCTCTTCTACAACACCACATCTTTAACTTTATAACTTCTTCTTCACCCTCATGAGTCACAGCAGGAGACTTCATTAACAAATTCCTCTTCCTTGCCTCCCATTTGTTCCAAATTGAAATTAGCTTTCTAGAGTCACAACTTTATTGAACAATTCTTATCAAGTTTAATTAATGTATTCATAAGTGTCTTTTGTATCTTTGTCTTTATTTTTTTGGCATGAAATGATGCTTATATTTCACATTCTTCTTTCTAGAAATAAATGAAGTACATATTTTACTGAGTTTTAATAAGCTTTTGTCATATGCTGTGTTCTAATATGAGATTCAATTTCTTTGCAAGAACATTAGAAATTCAGTTGACTGATTAAAAATCAATGCCTACAGGATTGCTGAAAAAATATTATATTATTGTCAATAGCCAGGTAATATATCATATACAATATCTGATACAATATCCTTAAAGTAAGGATAACACATTATAGCTTTCATTTATTTTTTCTTCAATCAGTTTTGATGAAATATTTAACTAACAATAAATTATAACAATGTGGCATACAACTGCTAAAAATTGCTCCTAATGGTTTCACCTTCCTATAATTAACATTCTTATATAATTTTTCTCTTTGAGTGTGGGTCGAAATTGCCAACTCAGTTATAACAAATACAATTAAGGCAGTTACCAGATATCACTTAAGAGGTCATGTTGTAAAAAGTTTTGGGTGTGTGTTTTCTCTCTTTCCTGCATTTTTGGCTTTGGAGGAAGCCTGCTGCCATGCCATGAGACCATCCTAGAGATGCTCATGTGTTGAGGAATTACAAGAGGCCTCCAACCAACGGCCAGCAAGAAATCAATATCCTGATTCCAACACTCATGAGGCAGTGAGCCTGCTGAAAAACCAAGTGAGTGGGCTTGGAAGTGTATTCTCTCCAAGTCTAGTCTTCAAATTAGACCCAGACTTGCCTGACAGCTGGCTTGTCTGCAGCCTCATGAGAGGCCCTGAGCTACAGGCAACCAGCTAAACTATGCCTATATTCCTGATCCACAGAAAATCAGATAATAAATGTTTATTGCTTTAAGATACAAAAATTGAGAAAAACTGTTATGCAGCAATAAATAATACACATATTTGACTTTATTTCAAAGTGGGATCTCTTTTCTAAGTAATGTATAAATGATCACCAATTTTTGCATTATTAAAAAATGATCACTCTCCTCAATGGTATACTATCCGTTAGTCACAGGACAACAACAAGAATTATTTATAGCCACTCAAGAAGTTATAACTTCAATTAGGCTACTAGAAATTCAGGACAAATCATTTTTGAATATGAATTTCTCAAAGAATCAATAAAACTGATTATTTAGTTTATAAAACGAGTAACTCTAAATGACCCTAGGTTTACAGATGAATAAGTGCTGTAACATAATACATGCAGAGAGGGGAGATTTTGGCTACAGGCAGCATCTCCCTCATCTAGTGCTAATTGATTAGTCAATATCTGGGACAAATATATTTGCTTAGATTTTAGTAAGAAGAATGATTGCATTCTGCTGAGAGGGACCCAAGAGGCGTGATATATGCAACATCTGATTAAGCACAGAAATGTCACAGACATCAAAATGTAAAATGTCTGGGAACAAGGAAGAAATAAAGAACTGCCTTCTTCCAGAAATCAACTGAACATCCATTGACAATAACAAGGATAAGAATAACAATGGAAAAGTTAAAAATATAATAAAAATATCTTGGGACTCAGCATAAATATGCAGAAATTTTGAGAGGATGTCAGCTTATAAATAGGTAAATAAATACCTTACTCATTAAAGTAATTAAAATATTGATCTTGGATTTTTTTATTTAAAAAACAATTTAAAATATGCCTGTGCCAAGGTAAATTGGAAGAGGAAGCTCATGAAGTATATTTAAAATAGAAAGTAAGTAAAATATCCATGATCAACTAAGGGAAAAAATTAGAGCTGAGCCAATCCTACTTTTATAACAATATAGAAATCTCAAAATAAATAAGGTGGCTTGGCAACTCTATAGAGATTTATCTCCTTTCATAGGATAGGCCACAGTGAACGCATGATTATCCTCATGGCTTTCGAACTGCTTTTCTAGTTTATATTCTGTTCTCAATGATTTCACCTACTTCTCTCAGATTTATTTTCCCAAATCAAAGACCTCGTCATGTTTGTTGTCTGCACAAAATCTGTAAGATCTCTCCCAGGCTACTGAGTCAGCTAAATCTTCCTGACAATCCAGTAATTCTCTCTGCAGAATGGAAGAAGGCAAGCTCTGTGTCCAGCTTCCCAGGCTGGTTTTACGGCTTTGCTACTTATCAGCTACTATAAGTTTGATGAACTTGGTAACTAAAATGCTACGTGTTTTCTTACCTACAAAACAGAATAATGCTTTTAATGAGCACAAATGTTTATTGTGAAAATTAAAAGAAATAATTCATGACATGTTAGGAATAGGTGTCCTGGTCCATGACGAGTACTCCATACGCATTAGCCATTATTTTATTATTGTTGCTATTTGAGATTCAAAGTAATAGAAGATTGTCTACTATGTGATAGAAGAATTTATATATGTTATCCACTTAACTTGAACATTTTTCTGAAATAGAAATTATTATTTCTTTTTTACAGATGAGGAGACATAGATTCAGATATGTTAAATGACTTCTCTAAATTCTTATAGTGACTGAGTGCTACACACAAGTTCCAGCCCAGGTTCCCTGACTTCCTGTTGAGGATACTTTTATTGCACAAGGGGTACCCTTCCAGGATGTCACCTAGTGCCCCACTGTGAAGAATACTGCTTAATAGTGCTGGCAATGAGTTTGAATCTCAGTTGCTTGCAATTCATACAAACTCTCCGAGATTCAGATTTTTCCCCACTATAAAAGATGGACAGTAATGTTCATTTTTATAAATTTTTTAGGATTACTTCACTTAGTACAGTAGTTGGTGTATGTGATGTCCATGACTTTTTAAATTTGCACACACATACACACATGCATGCACACACACATACAGGGTCCAGCAGAAGTAATATCTGCTTGAGTGTGGTTGGTAGGGTAATAATATGGGTATAATCATTTATAGTTTAAATTTGAATGTTTCATCTAAAATGTCATATGGTATACTTGAGTGTGATATTGTTATGTTGCAGAATTACTTGCTTATGATTTCATAATAAAATATTTTGTAATAAAAAGGAGGCATTATTTGTGCCAGACTTTGTATTTTATTATGTTTTATTAATTTATATTGACAAAATGTCATGCCATTCTAACTTCTCATACTTTACATCCTCATTACCAATGTCTTAATCTTATCTGTGTTCATCTCTGTGTATTGAAAATGTACCCATCCTTTGTAAAGAAATGTTTTCCTGTGTCCCAAAGCACTGACTTATTTTTAACTAGATACAGATCAACAATCCCTTGTCCAAGCTCTGCTGATCTAGATATGCTTCACCACTGAAAATTTTTCTTATTTTAGAAAGCTGAAAGAATACACCTTGTGTTACATGACATCCCCTGGAAGGATCTGGAATAGAATCTGTAATTAAACATAACAATATTTTTGCTGCAAAGAGTACAAATGTTCACACTCATGAGGCTCAATAAAGACTATATAAACAGGCTCTATCAGTCCAAGTTATAGTCTAACACATGTACAGCAGCCTAGCATCTACTGCCAAATAATTAAATTTAAAATAATTTTGTTCAGTTTTTTTTTAAATTTTAGGATTGCACATAAAGAATTGTAGATTGCATAACTTCCTCTGTCCCCCACCACAGTTTTGTTAGATTCTCAAGGTTCTGTGGTTTCTATGTAGCACAATGGTGTATTTACTCATCTTATTCTCCATTACTGTGCAAGGTGTACAGGAACAGAGAATGTATCTTCATCTTTGTATTCCCTTCACGACTGAGGATGTTCTTAACTCAAACTAGATATGTTTTGTATACTTTATCAACAAGAAAAATCACACCAATATTCTCAATGTGTAGATAATGCTGAAAGCACTGCCTTCCAAATATGACAGTACTCTTTTTTCCTGATCATTAATATACATTGAGTGATAATTCACATTTTTTAAAAGTAGCAACCTAAATTGTAGTAGTATTAAATTTCACAAGAAGATCTCATAAATAATTTAACTTGTTGATGGCCTGCTTGAATTAGGATTCCAGAAGAGGTAAGAAACGGTTCAAAATTTCAAATTATAATCTAAATTTGGGGAAATTAGGACATGATGGAGGATCATTCTTAGCATTTTATTTTGTAATTTATGGGTAAGTCACTTAAAGTCAATGATGATATTTTGGGATTAAAATTGATTTAATGCTGTGTGTTTACGAATGCTTTCCTTCTTGGTGATGACATACTTTAGAAGAAGAAACATAGTAATTCTTGCCATCTCACCTATGTGTTGTCCATACATGTGATAAAAGAAGCTGAAACAATATGCAGTGTTCGTGGGTCCATAAGGGTTTTTGGGAGCTATGCTAAAAACAGGGCTGAGAAGTCGAGCCTTTTCGCCTTCCAGTCTTGGTCGAGATGTCTCTATGTACATATAAAAACCTTTGAAAAGACACAATAAAATATGTAAACATATTGTTGGGTAACATGGAATTTGAAATCATTGATAAATTTTAGAGTTTTCATACAAGTACTGATTGATGGGATTTGTATTTCACTTATGAAATCTGTATATGTATGATATAATATAAAGAATAAATGATTTACATAATTAGTAATAATTGTTTAAATGGTATAAAAATTTAAGACAAAATTATAATTTTACATATACATTTTCAAAAAAATAATTCTCATCTTTCAATTATATGTGTCAATGAATTCTGAGAAAAAATTAATGTTTACAAATTTTGGAAATATCTGAATTATTGATACTGTACATAAAGTTTTAATATTTTATTCCACAGTCTTCAAATATATAGCCTAATGTTCTTCTGCATTTCACAACAATTGCATTTCTAATATTCCAATGCTGGAGTATGATTTGTATGAACACACTTCACACCCTCATACCTTCTTTGGAGCCACTACGATCAGCATTAGGTCCTGTGTTTGGAGTATATTTTGTATTTCTTGTTGCAGTACTTTGCTTTGTCCAGTCAAAATTATCCGTATCATCTTGAGTGAACAAACAAATGTTACCATCTTCAAATCCACAATGAAATTCTCCTGTTAACAAATTTTAATTAAAGTGATTAATATTAATTAAATTAATACAAACTGCAATATTCTTGCACAAGAAATTTAAATCATTAAGCAATAATAATGCAAGATTGCAATAAAGGAACCAGAGGCATAATTGTGCACAAGATTACAACTAAGCATAAAATGATTTCATTTTAATGAAAAAATAATATTAATATATATATGTATCAGTCTCTTAATAATGTAAACCCAAACTTCCTCTCCGATATTCAGATAACTATAAAGTTAAAGATTATAATTTGCCCTTGAATTATGGTTAAAGAATTTTCCCAACTTTCATTTTTTAGTATAGGAACAACTCAAACTAAACTGTCAATTAAAAAAAGATGAACCTTTTAAACTTACCTAGAAGCATGTTAAAGCTTTATACCTTGAGGTTATAAGTTTTCACATCATGCCTGGAAATGCTTTTGTGCATAACCATTTGCACAAATGGAAGTTTACTTAGGGGAAGCTAATGACAAATTATTTTAAAAAGTAGTTATCTTCCATACTTTATTTGAATATGGATTTGCCAGATGTTTGAAATTAAAAATGAAGTAATGAAAAGACTTTATGAAGACCAGCTGGAAGGACTAAGAATTTTTTGGATGTCTGCCACATGCTATATTCAGACCCAACCAGTTCAGAGAGAGCTTTCTTAAACTATCACTGAAAAGAGGGTGGTAGTAACATTTCTAGGTTTCAGAGGATATTCTAACTGAGATGTACCTGTTTGAAATATAGGAGTAATTAAAGAGGATGATAATGCCCACTAGACACAGAATTAAAATTATCCTTAATTAAGAAAAATGTAAGATAGTTTATATTATTTCATTCAAAGTCATTACAACTCTATGAAATCACAGTGATACTAATTTGTGAGGCTCACAGAGGGAAAACTTTAGCTAAGTTCAGCTATTAAAAGTAAAGTCAAAACTGACTACTGGTTTCATGGAATTCACATAAACATCTAAAAAACAGAGACTCCCATTTGTTTCCCATCCCTTCTACTATGGATTAGATTTATTGTATATCTTTGGGAGTGGAACCTTTGCAGCTGGGGTAATGCTTTGAATTAATCTTTGTGTTTCTATATACTAAGAATGAACTACCTGAAAGGGGATTAAGAAAATTATATCATTTATGATAGCATAAAAATGCTTAAGAATAAACTTAGCCAAAGAAATTAAAGACCTACACACTGAAAACTATAAAACTGATGAAAAAATAAAAAAAGACACAACTAAATGGAAAAACTACCCATATTCCTGGGTTGGAAGACTTAATGTTGTTAAAATATCCATACTCCCCAAAGTGATCTGTAGATCAACACAATCCCTATAAAAATAGCAATAGCATTTTTGTATAGAAATACAAAAAAATTTCTAAGTTATGTGAAACCACAAAAGATCCCAAATTGCCAACAAAATTATGAGCAAGAAGAACAAAACTGGAGGCATCACACTTATTATTTTAAAATATATATTTTAAAGTTACAGTAATCTGAAAAGTATGGTACGTGCATAGTGTTGGTGGGAAAATAAATTGATACATCTATTATGAAAAAAGTATCAAAATTCCTCAAAAAAACTAAAAGAGAACTATCATATGAGCCAGTAATAATCTGTCTTATAAGTCTACAGCCAAAAGAAATTAAATCAGTACCTCAAAAGAGATAGGCACTCCTATTTTCATTGCAGTATTACTAACAGTAGCCAAAGTATAGAAATAACCTGTGTTTTATCTATAAATGAACAAATAAAAAATTTGTGGCAGATATATACAATGGGATATTTTTATGCCTAAAACATTTAAAGCTGTCCTACCATTTGCAGTAACATGGATGAAACCAGAGGATGTTACACTAAGTGAAACTGCCAGACACAGAAAGAAAAAACTGCATGATTTTACTTACAAATATGATGTGTATGATAACAAAATATATTCAAATATATCATATAAAATATATTATATTAAAATATAAACTGTATATTATATATTTTATATGTGATATATATAAAAATAAAATATTTTCCATTTACATTTCATTATATTTACTGGAATATAATGGAATGACATATTCCATTAAAGTCATACAATTATTTTTTTCCTATTAAGAAAATGTTTCAGACAAACTATAATTTATAATTTAGCCAACATATATTTCAAAGATTTTTAAACTTTACTATCAATACAATAATCTTTTTTGAAGAAATATTGCTCAATGATATTATAAAAATTTATTACACATAATTATAAATAACATAAGAAATAAATTTAGAATTTTTTTATTTTATGAAATAACTTAGAATCAAAAGAGAAGTATTTGATATTTTTCACTTGTATTCTTTTCTCATTTATGTTTTTTCCCTGAACGATTTAATTTTCTCTCTTTAATTTTATTAACAACATCATTACTGGGAAGGTATGTTTTAATAAAAAATGTGGACGATAAAGAATAAATATATTGTAACTAATTGAAATATTATAGAAAAATTGTAGTAACAAAAAAATGTTTGCTAGGGGCTGTTGTGCAAGAGGTTTAACTACCAAGGAACACAAGGAGATGTTAGGGGCCATGGAACTCTGTTGTGATGATTACATGACTGTATGGATTGGTCAACAGCTCTGAATAAGTCCATATAAAAAGGGTGACTTTTACCATATGTAAATTATACCTTGAAAATTAATTACAATAAAAACAAAAAACAATACAATGTTTAAGAAGAATATCCCAGGTAAAAATAGCCTAATTCAGGGAAAGGAAAATTAACTTTCCATTGCAAAAATCTAAAACAAAATATGTTGGTCTATTTTCATCTCTTACTGAATAATATCTGGCTGGTTTATTAAGAGCCTGAATGTATAATAAATGGCTTTGTTTGATAAAACATTTTTCTCATATGTGTTTAGGACCTGAAGGCAATAGCAGTGTTAAACAATTAAATTAGTGAGGAAAAATGGGATTCAAATATGACTGCAGAATAGGTGGCAACTACATACACCTGCTCCCAGCCCCAAAAGGATTTACACTTGAATTATAGAGCAATCAGCCTCAATAACCAACTGAAGTCTAGCTGAACTGAAATATTATATTTACAGAAGAAGCCACATAGAGACTGGTAAGAAAGGAAGAGCCTCGGAAAACTCTGTCTCCCCTTATCCAGGTGCAGCAGCTATAAGCCTAAAGGATATTGCAGCTGCAAAACTCCCTCCCACCAAGAGCATGGGTTACTCAACTCTACACAAAGATCTCCAATGCAGAGCAACACAGATGGGAAGAGGAGCCCACATAGCATCTGGTGGTGAAAATCAGTGGGGAGTCGGTCTGCCTGAAAGACCCAGACAACACCTTCCCAGGGACTAGCACTCATTGTTACAGCACCAGCCAAAGGAGTGCATTGCCTGGTCTCTGACAGCTGGCAAGGTGAGTCTACCATGCTTGGGTCCATGGAGAGTCCTGTCTGCATGTGTCAGTGACCATAGGGGCTCTCTTTTTCTGGGGAGGTTCTTGGTGAAAACTTACACAATGACTAAACTTTGTGGCTTTGGAAAGGGGACTTGTTTCCCCAATCTTGAGCACACAGCCTACACCCCCACGATGTATTGAATCACTTGGCTTGTCCCGTCCTTCTGAGATGAGTCATGCAGAGGGACCAGAGTGCCACACGGAGCTGAGACATTTAGAGTGTTTCTCCTGGTAAAACTTTTGTTCAGGAATCAGATATGTGGGTTCTGCGATATGTGACTACATTGTGGTGGGAGGCTACTTCTATCTCCCCTACAAGCTGAGCCTACCCTGAAAAGAAGGAGAAGCGTGCATCTCCTTCCTAAGGCTTGCAGATAACCAACCCCAACAGAAAACTGTTTGGTTTTGCCCTTCCAAGTCCTGGATACTCCATCCCACTGAGCTCAGTCCCATGGTGGAGTGAGGGGGAGAATAGTTCAGAGCTGGGACATTCAGAGCATGAGTCTTTTGGAGGCTAATATCTGAGACAAGGACAAAGTGCTTGGCCCCCTCCTGTAGGCTGCACTAGCAGAATCCCTAATGTGAGATTCTTTTGATCTGTCCCTGCTAAGCCCAGTGGTTTGGACTGGATGAGCTTGTTTCTACAAAGTAGATGGCTGGCTGTACCAAACCTGAAATTGCAGTGTGCCCCCTTCTGGGGGTACTAGAGTTGGAGACTCTGGTAGAGAATAAGTGGTTTGCCTTCAAAGCAGAGGACACTTCCCTCTCATTGAGTGCCTGACCATGTGGCCCCCATAGAGGGGGACCCACTAACTCTCCTCCTGACTTCATTTGCCCTGGCCTACGGAGCTTACAACCTATAGAAGTATCTGTGGGTTGCAGCCAGCCTGGGCCCACTCTTTAGTTTTTATTCAGAAGCCTCTAGAGGAAGACCAGGAAACTTCAGGGGGAGGTAAAGTAGCAGACAGGTGGGTGTAGACCTCAAGGAGCCTCGGTCCTTTTATAGACCCACCCCCAGCTCTAACCTGAAGGAAATTGACCATTATAAAAAGAGTGACACCTCCCACATACACTCAGGCCCAGTAGATGCAGTCATAAACAGTGAACAGAATGATACCTTTGACAGGCAGCCTAAGGTTGGTTACACACAAAGTCTGACATTGACCTATATCTCAACTCTTCCCAAGAGGACTCAGAACCAACACAATGAGTAGTGGGCTTGAGACCAGACCAGAGCTCAACCCAACTACCCACACAAGTGGCACACCCAAAGGGGGAGTCTGGCAGGCACCAAATTCTACAGAGAACAATCCCACCTTGGGTGGCAGCCCTTGCATGGTACATCATACACAGTAATCAAGGTTTACCCTTATTGTCAGCCAACCTGAAGAATTCATTCCATCCACAAAAGGGTCAACTGCATTCAAGACTCAACTACAACAGAAGGGTGCACATAACCCACAGGAAACATTCCTGTGCAAAAACCTCAGGTGATCTGGAAGATTGTGGCACT